GAGAGAGAGAGAGAGAGAGAAAGAAAGAAAGAAAGAAAGAAAGAAAGAAAGAAAGAAAGAAAGAAAGAAAGAAAGAAAGAAAGAAAGAAAGAAAAAGAAAAGAAAAATTACCAAAATTACCAAAGAATAATAATTTGCCAGGCGGTGGTGGCGCACCCTTTAATCCCAGCACTCAGGAGGCAGAGCCAGGCAAATCTTTTTGAGTTCAAGTCTAGCCTAGTCTACAAAGTAAGATCCAGGATAGGCTCCAAAGCTACACAGAGAAACCCTGTCTCAAAAAAGAGAAAGAAAAAAGACTGTCATTCATGTAAACTAAATCTATATGCTGTAAGGTCACATTCTAAGATACTGGAGGTGGAGATGAAGATATGGGGGTGGTATAAATTTATCCCAGAAGAGATACCCGGTTTCTGGATGAGGGATTCCTAAAATGCAAATCTTACTGGAGTAGTCAGTGTGAGCTGGCCTTGAAGGGTAGGAACAACATTATTCCAATTTTCTATGGTTCTTAGGGCTCTGGGGTGGGGTGGGGGGAGGCAGAGCATCCTGTGTTTGTGCACGAAGAAATATGTGATTATCAGAGGGACAGAGTCAAGGGCTTCGAGTGAGCCTTAGAAAGATGCTCCTACTGGAAGAGGCATTTTAGTCTGTTTTGTTATTATTATTATATCTATATTATTATTTGATATTTATATATTTAATATTTGTTATTATTATCAATACCCAAGGCTAGGTGACAAGGTGACAAATCTAAAGATGGATGTCTCATGATTCTGGTCACTGAATGATCTAAATAGCACGGTACCAATACCTTAGGTAGGGCTCCCTGGCTACATCACAATACGGCAGAGAAAAGAGGCAGGAACCAGCTACATGCAGACGGGGCTAAGGCACGGGGTGGCCTTGCTTTAGAACAGCCCAGTCTTGAAGATTCAAAGCATTCATGAGACTCGAGCACACCAACCAGGTACCCCCCACTGAACTCTGCCTCAAAAGCGTTGTCAGCCCAGCGCTGACACTAGGGACCATGCGTCCCGCGCCAAGCCTTTAGGATGCACACCGTATTCAAACCATAGCAGGGTAGCAGGCTCACGCAGCCAGCCAGCCACGCCTCAGTGGAGCCAAGGAGAGGCTGAGTCCTCTGTCCAAGAAGCCCAAGGACCTTTTCCACACAGAGACCGGTCAGGTGAGGAACCGTTTACTTCTTGTCTCTATCCTGCCCTCCAGCTCCTTCTAATGCAGCGGTTCTCATGTTGTGGTGACGCCCCCCCCCCAACCATACAATTATTTTTGTCGTTACTTCCTAACTGTAATTTTGCTACTATTATGAATCATAATGCAAATATCTGATATGCAACCCCCGAGGGGGTCACGACCCACGGGTTGAGAACTGCTGAGAGCCATGGGTCCTGTACAGGTATAAACAAGCCTCTCACTCAGTCAGGGGTTGAAATTTTAAAATGTGACTAGAACTGATGCCAGGTGGCGCACACCTTTAATCCCAGCACTTGGGTGGCAGATGCAGGCGGGTCTCTGTGAGTTCAAGGTCAGCACGCTCTATATGAGTTCCAGGACAGCCAGGGCTATACAGAGAAACCCTGTTTGGAAAAACAACAACAACAACAATGTGAGGAATGAGTCTTAAGTGCTGGGATGAGACTGTGCAAGTGACTTAAAGCCACAGGAAGGATCAGCATCTGTGTATAGGGGTAGGCGAGTACAGGAATTGGGGGTGGGTAGGGGGTGTTATTAAGGACTGAGCCAACCCAGCAGGACATACCTGGTAAATAAAAATAAAAGCAGTGCTGGGAAGGCCCATGCTCTTTCAAGATCACACTCCTAGGAGCTGAGACGCTTCCATCTCTGAACCTGATTTGTAAATGCCTCACATTCATGCCACCGCCTCCGAACAGACAGTTCCCGTCATCATGTGCTTGGGAGCTGGGCTCAGACAGCCAGGTTCCAACAGCTGTGATGTGCCCGGGTGAGGACAGGTCCCAGCCCTCATCACGCCAAAGCCACGACACTGGCAGCGCTACAAGGGACTCCTTGTCAGCATCCATCTTCAGGGGATCGATTCCCCTCCCGTTCAGAGTGCAAGTGTCAAAAATCAATGAAAGGTCTCCAAGGAGGCAAAGCTAAGGTTACCCAGAAGGCAGCCCAAGCGAGAGTTTCCCAGGACCAAGCTTTCTAGGGCAATGACCAAGTGTAAACTCTGAGCTTACCATGGCTCTAGAGTAAGGAGTATGGGATGCATTCTGAGAGGAGCTAGCTGCACCATGGAAATGACTGGGAAGAAGGAATAGGAGAAGCCGAGCTCTACTGAGAGTCAACAGTAGCAAAGTAAAATTTGCTGGAACACGGAGTCGAATGATTCAATTAGTACACACCATGTACGTACTGAGACCCCAGTGCATTTAAGGCACAGAGCTGGGCACAATTTGGAATGTGAAGATAAAGTAGGGTAGAGCCATACCATGTATCATAACATGTATTTGTTTTAGGCAGCACTGGGGATCGAACCCAGGGCCTCTCACACGCTAAGCAAGCATGCTACCACGACATGAGCTACACCCCCAGCCCTTTTCAGTTTTTTATTCAGATACAGCATCTCACTCTGTAGCCCAGGCTAGTCTTAATTCTCCATCCTCCTGTCTTAGCCCCTCCAGAAGTTGGGATGACAGGCATAGGCTACCCAGCCCACCTGAGATGATTTTATTCAGACACGGGGAGACAAATGGATCAGGAGACAACCACCATTCAAAAGGTAGCTCATCACCTACAGTTTCTGAGAGGAGATTCACATATTACCACACAGGACCACATTGGGAACTGTATTAATTTTCTATTATTGTGACCAAACATCATGACGAATGCGATTTATAGAAATAAAGTTTATTTGGGCTTACAGCTCCAGAGTGTGAGCGTCCTGGATGGCAGAGTGAAGGCCTGGCCGCCAGAGCAAAAAGCTGGGGGCTCGCATCCTGAACCACAAACACAAGACAGAGAGAGCAAATTCTAAGTAGTAACTTTTTAAAGACATTTATTTTAGGTATAAGTGCTCTGCGTGTACGCCTACATACCAGAAGAGATGGTTGTGAGCCACCATGTGGGTGGTGGGAATTGAACTCAGGACCTTTGGAAGTGCTCTTAACCTCTGAGCCATCTCTCCAGTCCCCTGAATGCTGACTCTTTAAACCAGTGGTTCTCAACCTTCCTGATGCTGCGACCCTTTAATACAGGTCCTCATGTTGTGGGGAACCCCTCAACCATAAAATTATTTCGTTGCTACTTCATAACTGTAATTTTGCTACTGTTAGGAATCGTATTGTAAATATCTGATATGCAGGATATCAGATATACGACCCTGTGAAAGGGGGTCGCAACCCATAGGTTGAGAACCACTGATCTACACTCTCAAAGCCAGCCTCCAGTGAAATCGGTTTCTCCCCCTGACCCCAGGGTTAGGACTAGTGTTTCTCAACCTTTGTTCAGAAAATGTTCAGATTTTGTCCTCACACCTGAGAGTTTAGCAAGATACAAAATTTTATAAAAATTTCAACCAGCACTCTAAACCTTTTTCTATATAATTGCCAGGCTTTTATGATTCCTGCTAAGAAGTTTGGCGACAGTCTATGTTCTTTGTATATTGTTCCCACCACCTTCAAGACTGCCTTTGTGCTGTGAGGTTCTACATTTTACTACAAGGTATCTGGTTAAAGATTTAATCTATTCTGCCTAGGTTGTGTTACCTCAACTCTTGAAAAATATCAGCCTTTATTTCTCCCTTTAAATAGTGTCCTCCCACAATCTTTCCATTTTTCCTTGTGGAACTTCTAGTGTGTGTGTGTGTGTGTGTGTGTGTGTGTGTGTGTGTGTGTGTGTGTGTGTGTGTATGTGTGTGTACACTATACATAGTCTTTTTTAGTCTTTTTAGTCTATTCCTTATGTCTTGGAACATCTTTCAAGTACTTTATACATTTTTTTAATCTGGAAATTTTTAGCTTTAACTTTCAGCTTATTATCTGATATTCTGTATAAATACATTGTTGCATGAAAAAAAAAATATATATACACACACACACACACACA